ACCAGGCACAGCTAGCAGCGCAGCAGGTACCCCGAGCGTGGCACTACAGGGTCTGGATCAACCCCAAATCTTAGCGACGGTGACCCGGAGGCAGGAGGGGACGCGGCTCGCCTGTAGCCTACCTCCTGGTAGGAGACTAGGACCTCACAGCTCTTCTCCTCCTTTCTGGCCTCAATCCTCTTGTACAGCTCCACCATGGTGAGGTACATGATGCCAGGGCTTTTCTCTGAGCCCAGCATGGTGTAGGTTTTTCCTGCTCCCGTTGCGCCGTAGGCAAACACTGGGAGGAGAAAGGGTGGATGGCTGAAACAATCATTAATTAATGGAAACGGCGTAATGTCAGCTTCTTGCCGGAGAGGAGAGCTTCCCGCAGCAACCCCTGTGGCGGGGGTCACTCGCAGGCTTTGCGAAGACGAGGCAAAGCTAATTACCCTCCATGCTGGCTGCACTATCCTTTAGTGCAATTTTTTTTCCTCGTTTCAGCCTCTCTAATTTAGCAGACAGAGACAGAATGAGTCCCCAGATCATCACCTGCTTGGAGGCCATGCTCAAGTCACCCCTGAACCTTCCCTTTAACAAGCCAAGCAGCCTCGTTCCCCCTTACCAGAAGGTGTTTCTTCTTCCAGACCATGTAATTCATCTCATTTTCCCTCCCCATCTTTCAACACCCTCTTTGAAGCATCACCATCAGAGCAGGACACACTAATCTAGAGAGCCTCAGCTCTTCTCCCCATTAGCAGCACTCGGTGCTTCGTGACTCTCTCATTTGAGGATCCTGGAGTTATTTTATGCAGATAGAGACACGAGACGTGCCTGCCAGGTGGGCACGGTGACAGAGGCAGCCTTTAGCGGCTTGCAGAGCATGCCGGAGAGCCAGGAATAGCATCCTCCGGTCCCACTGCCCAGCCCAGCGCATGATTAGACAGGCAAGCGGTCGTCTCCTGCTCAGAGCCTGCCTCGCAGAAGTGATGTGCTCGTTAAGCCACTCGTCTGCTGACAGCCTGCGAATGGCACAAGGGTCTGCGGCATCGGGCGAGGAGCTTTCACACCCGGTGAGGAGCTTTCCAGACCCGGCTTTATGGCACTGCCAACCTGGGATATGCTCGCAAGGGACACAGCAGCCCCCAAAGCACCCCAAGATGTGTGTGCTTCACCACAGATCCTGCTCCAAAACTCAGCATCCTCCCGAAGCTCTGCCCGTCACAGCAATTTGGGCTAGGAAGGGACGGCGAAACCACAGTGCTCTTTGTGCCATGGATCCACCCGATTTCTTCCCATCCTTCCTGCCTCAGGAAGGTGGAGAACAAGGGATCTTCATCCTCGAAATGCCTGGAAAGCACCTGCCGAGCCTCATTTTCTACCCCAAGGCCCACCTTCATCCTCTACATCACATCTCCGAAAGCGCCGAGGACCATTGCGGTCCCCATTATCGCAGAACCACAGAACAGCCCAGGCTGGGAGGGACCTGGAGAGACCATCTGGTCCAAGCTTTCGTGGGAAAGGGAGTCCAGATGAGATTATCTCGCACCCTGTTCAGTGGCGCCTTGAACACCTGCAGCCGTGGGGACTCCACTACATCCCTAGGGAGGCCGTTTTAGTGAATGTTCTCACCGTAAAAGACGTCTTTCTTATACCGAGATGAAACCTCTCCCAGAGCAACGTGTACCTGTTGCCCCTTGTCTTCTCCTTGTGACAGAAGAGCCTCCATCCTCTCTGTAGCTGCCCTTTAAGTACTGAAAAACTGACGAGGCTCCCCACATTGGGTAACGGTTTTTAACTGACAGACGGCAGGTTTAGATTGGACATAAGGAAGAAATATTTTACGATGAGGGTGGTGAGACACTGGAACGGGCTGCCCAGAGAAGTTGTGGATGCCCCATCACTAGAAGTGTTCAGAGCCAGGTTGGATGGGGCTTTGAGCAACCTGATTCGGTGACAGATGTCCCTGCCCATGGCAGGGGGTCGGACTGGACAGTTTTTCAAGGCCCCTTCCAACCCAAACCATCCCGTGATTCTATAGGAGCACTTCATGATTTGCTTCCCCTCATTTACCTACCGAGATTAGACAGCATTTCCATGTCAGGAACATCCCCATCCTGACCCCACTTGCAATTGCCCCAGCTTGGTACCACCAAAAAGTTTAAAGCTATATGTCCTAGTGTTGCTTTTGTGTCCCCCCTCTCCCCAGCTTCTTGGGAGCTTCCAAAATAAATCCACGGCTCCGCTGAGCCCACCCAGCCCAGGAGCAGGTGCAGCAGGAGCTCCCACAGGGATTGAAGGTGCTCGCCAGGTCTTACCGGAGCAGTTGTAGCCATTGAGGACGCTGTCCAACACGTCACGGGTGGTATGATGGAACACCTCCTCTTGTGTAGCTCCCTCCCCAAAAACCCGGTCGAAGACAAACTTCAGGTCCTTGCCCTGGTGCTTGGGCCCACGGGTGGGCAGCACGCTGCCCAGGAAACCACCGGAATCCTCGGGGTCGAAGACAAGGATGTGCTGGTTGACGACGTGCAGGACGGGGTGCACGGCCCGCTCTCGCTCACAGGGGTTGGGGGGCCGCACACGCACCATGACGGCCACGGTGCCCTCCTCGGGCGGGGAGCCCAGCGCCATGGGGACAGAGGGAAGCTGGGGCAGGGGCACAGTGCTGGATGGAGAACACGGCTCTGGGCTTGAACATCCCGGGAACCTCACGCACTCTGGGGGGGGGAAGGGATCAGCCGGGAAGTGAAGCACTGGAGGGGGAGCCCGAGGCTGGGCAAAGCCTTGCACCCCCAACCCTTCCCTGTCCTAACCCCAGCCAGTGCCCCTATAGAAGCCCTTATAAGCCCCCCACGGCCCTACACCCCCTTCAGGTCCCCACAGCCTCCTCAACGACCTTACATCCCCCTTCAGGCCCCTAGAGCCCCCCTCACCCCCCTCCTTCAGGCCC